ACATCTGTAATCCCAGCACTTTGGGAGGCCGAGGCAGGCAGATCACTTTGAGCTCAGGAGTTCAAGACTAGCCTGAGCAACATGGTGAAACCCCATCTCTACTAAAAATATAGAAATTAGCCGGGTGTGATGGTTCATGCCTGTAATCCCAGCTACAGAGGAACCTGAGATGAATGGGAAGATTGCTTGAGCCCAGGAAGCTGAGGCTGCAATGAGCTGTGATCGCACCACTGAACTACAGCCCAGGCAACAGAGCAAGACTCTGTCTCAAAAAGAAAAGAAAAGAAAAGAAATTGTCCAGGTAAGAGATGAGAATACCTTTGACCAAATTGGTAGCTCTACCAATTGGTAATGTAAGTGGTAAGAAGTGGTCAGATGTTGGGCTTGGTGGCTCCTTCCTGTAATTCCAGCATTTTGGGAGGCTGAGGCAGGAGGATCACCTGAGCCAAGGAGTTTGAGGCCATCCTGGACAACAAATTGAGATCCTGTCTCTACATAAAAATTAAAATATTAGCTGGGCATGGTGGTGCACACCTGTGGTCCCAGCTGCAGGGGAAGCTGAAGTCAGTGGGAAGATCACTTGAGCCCAGGAAGCTGAGGCTGCAATGAGCTGTAATCACACCACTGCACTCCAGCCTGGGCGGCAGAGCAAGACCTTGTCTAAAAAAAAGTGGTCAGATAGTCAGACGCTAGATATATTGGAAAACTGGCAAGGTTTGTTATTGATGGATTGGATATGAGGAGTGTGTGTGCGTGTGCGTGTGTGTGTGTGTGTGTGTGAGAGAGAGAGAGAGAGAGAGACAGAGAGAGAGAGGGAGGAACGGAGGGAGGGAGGGAGAGAGAGAAAGAGGAGTCAAAGATGACTCTAGAGTGCTCAACCTGACTTAAGGAGTGGTCATTTAGAGGTAGGGAAAACAATTTACATAAAGTGCTTAGCACAGATATGGACAGAAAATAAGTGCTCAATAAATATCAGATATTCTTTAGATATTCTTTGTATTAGTGATTTTGGTTTCCTGAGCAGTCTAACTTCGGTCACCCAAGGCTCTGCAAATGCTGAGCAAACCTGGCAATAACATCGTAGCTATCACTGGGTGTGACGGTGCGCATCTGTAGTCCCAGCTACTTGGGAGGCAGAGGCAGAAGGATCGCTTGAGTCCGGGAGTTCTGGGCTGTAGTGCACTATGCCAATTGGGTGTCTGCACTAAGCTTGGCATCAATATGGTGACCTCTGGGCCACATTGATGGAGTGGGGGGCCACTAAATTGCCTAAGAAGGGGTGAACTGGCCCATGTTGGAAACAGAGCAGGTGAAAACTCCAGTGCTGATCGGTAGTGGGATTGTGCCTGTGAATAGCTGCTGCACTCCAGCCTGGGCAACATAGCAAGACCCCGTCTCAAAAGAAAACAAAAGCAAAAAAAAAAAGCATAGCCATCATGTTTCTGCATGTGCTGTACATATATACTCTCAAGCACATGGTAGACAGAATCTTTACTTAGAAAGGCTACCCTGCAAGGTGTATGAAAAAATTGAAAATGAACATTTCTTCAATTTCTTAATACATTCCAGGCATTGGGTATTTTTCACTTAATTCTGTCTCCACCACTAGACTGTACACTGCATGAGAGAGGGAGCTTACAGTTCTGTGGACTAGTGTACACACTTAACACATGGTAGTCACCTTAGTTAATATTTATTAAATGAACACCTACATTAACAGAGATGGAGACTGAGTAACTTCCCAAGGTGGAGCTGGGTTTTAATAAATGTTTGTTGTAGGCCGGGCATGGTGGCTCATGCTTGTAGGCCCAGTACTTTGGGAGGCCGAGGCAGGTGGATCACTTGAGGTCAGGAGTTTGAGACCAGCTTGGACAACATGGTAAAACTCTATCTCTACTAAAAAATACAAAAATTAGCCAGGTGTGGTGGTGTATGTCTGTAATCCCAGCTACTTGGAGGCTGAGGCGGGAGAATTGCTTGAACCCAGGAGACAGAGGTTACAGTAAGCCGAGATCACACTACTGCACTCCAGCCTGGGCAACAGAGCAAGACTCCATCTCAAAAAAAAAAAAATTGTTACATAAATGATTGAATAAATGCATATTACATTATTATATTCCTATTTTAGAGAAGAGAAACCACAGCTGATGACAAACCAGAGATTTGAACCCAGGAGTTTCTGATCCCTGGTCTTGAACACTTTCTTTTTCTTTTCTTTAGAGACAGTGTCTTGCTATGTTGCCCAGGCTGGACTTGAACTCCTGGGCTTAAGGGATCCTCTGGCCTCAGCCTCTCAAGAAGCTAGGACTACAAGTGAGTCTGGCTAGCTGAGACCCTTTGTATGGCCCCACTGTGGGGCCTCAGATACCCTTTGGCTGTGTTTGAGGATGCGTTTGACAGATTTGACGATCCTGATTGTACCATGAGGTGTAAAAACTTAGGCTACTCGAGAAAGATTGAAGGTTAAATCAGATCGTAAAGTTCTAGTAATATGATCCTAAGTTTTTGCCTTCATGAAACTGCATGACCTAAAGCATCAATTTCAGCTAAACTGCCCAAGGCCACACAGGCTGTAGGGGAACAAGACATGAGCCCAGACTTCTCACACCAGACTTCCTGTTTGTTCTCCTACCCAGGAGTTCTTTTTTTTCTTTCTTTTGAGAAGGAGTATCACTTTTATTTATTTAATTATTTTGAGTTGGAGTCTCGCTCTGTTGCCCAGGCTGGAGTGCAGTGGCATGATCTTGGCTCACTGCAACCTCTGCCTCCAAGGTTCAAGTGATTCTCCTGCCTCAGCTTCCTGAATAGCTGGGATTACAGGCCCACACCACCACACCCAGCTAATTTTTGTATTTTTAGTAGAGATGGGGTTTCACCATGTCGGTCAGGCTGGTCTCAAATTCCTAACCTTGTGATCTGCTTGCTCAGCCTCCCAAAATGCTGAGGTTACAGGTGTGAGCCACAGCGCCCAGCCGGTGTTTCACTCTTGTTACCCAGACTGGAGTGCAATGGTACGATCTCCGCTCACTGCAACCTCCACCTCTGGGTTCACATGATTCTCCTGCTTTCGCCTCCAGAGTAGCTGGGATTACAGGTATGTGCCACCACCCTGGCTAATTTTGTATTTTTAGTAGAGACGAGGTTTCATTATCTTGGTCAGGCTAGTCTCAAACTCCTTACCTCAGGGGATCCACCCACCTTGGACTTCCGAAGTGCTACGATTACAGACAGGCATGAGCCACTGCGTGTAGCCCCCAGGAGCCCCTGATCTGAGGCACAAAGAGGCTTAGGCGGTGTCCGAATATATTTTATGGTAACCTCTTCTCCCAACAATGTCTGCTATACTGTGTGTTTACACGTAGGTGTGTTTTTGGAGGAAAGAGTTCAAAGTTTTCATTACTTTTTTTTTTTTTTTAAATAAAGAAAAAACTTGCCGGGCGAGGTGGCTCACGCCTGTAATCCCAGCACTTAGGCGGGCGAATCATGAGGTCAAGAAATTGAGACCATCCTGGCCAACGTGGTGAAACCTTGTCTCTACTAAATACAAAAATTAGCTGGGCGCGGTGGCGGGCGACTATAGTCCCAGCTTCTTGGGAGGCTGAGGCAGAAGAATCGCTTGAACCAGGAGGCGGATGTTGCAGTGAGCCGAGATGGCGTCAGTGCACTCCAGCCTGGTGACAGAGTGAGACTACATTTCAAAGGAAAAAAAAAAGCTTTATTGCCCAGCCTGGTCTAAAACTCCCAAGCTAAAGCAATCTGCCCAACTCAGCCTTCTCAGCCTCCCAAAGTGTTGGGATTACACGCATGAGCCACCACGCGGATTTTCATTACATTCTCAAAGGGGCCTATAATTTAAAAAAAAAAAAGAAAAGAAAAAAAAAAAAAAAGCTTACTGTCATTTTATGTTACATACTTTTTTAAAGTTTTATTTTAAAGCTTTTAGGCAATAGAAGGAAGAAAAAGGAAGGAAGAAGGGGGTGAGTAGGAAAGAATTGTGCAGAAAAAATTTAACAGATGTCCGTGTGTGTGTGTGTGTGTGTGTGTGTGTGTGTACCAGGCTAGCGTGCAGTGGCGCAATCTCAGCTCACTGCGACCTTCCCCTCCCAGGGTCAAGCGATTGTCATGCCTCAGCTACCCGGGTAGCTGGGATTACAGGCGCATGCCACCATACCTGGCTAATTTTTGTACTTGTAGTAGAGACAGGGTTTCACCATGTTGGCTAGGCTGGTCTCGAACTTCTGATCTCAAGTGATCCGCAGGTCTCCGGCATCCCAAAGTGCTGAGATTACAGGCGTGAGGTACCACTCCCGGCCAGATGTCTATTATTGTTTCCAGAATTTCAAGGAAGAGAACCCAGTGTGACCAGAGGTCAAAAGATGAGAATGTTAAGTCAGGCTAGGATCCAGATCTGTTGGCACCAGTTCCAGTGCTCTTTCTAGTTCCTGTTGCTATTCATTCGTATCAAGTATCTGCTTTGTGCCGGGTATGATTCCAAATTACATCATTCCCAGATTATTCTGAGAATGCTGCAGTGGCAAACTCTTGGTATCACAGAATTTATATTCTAGTGGGGGAAGACAGACAAAATAGTATAACGACGACGGTGCAATGTTATGTGCCATGAAAAAACGCTGAGTCAGAGGATGGCGAGGAAGGGGAATGGAATTTTAGATAGGGCGGTCTGGGCTCAGAACCTCCAGATGGCCATCAATGGACTCCAACGAAGGGAGCAATCCCAGGTGCCAGGGCGTCCCACACAAACCTCTGTAGCGCTCCCGCTTCGCCTAGCCCAGGTGGGGAGAGTAGGGATACCAGAGGGCACACGCATGCGCATGAAGGAAACGGCAAAGCCTGAAGGGAGGTGCAGGGCGCATGCGCTCTCTTGCCCGAGACGCCGAGGATTTTGACAGAGACCCGGTGGGCCCGAGTGATAGTGCCCTTGGGAAGGCGTTGCCCAATAAAAACTTCCTTTGGAGGTTGTAGTCCCACCCACAGAGCCAATTTTCTACTTCCGCTTCCGGCGCTGCGGAGGTCCAGGTCGAAGATGGCGGTAGCTGTTACGTCTCGGCTTTCTAGGCTGCTGGGTCGGTCCCGCCCACAGCTGGGGCGGCCTATGTCGAGTGCCGCCGAGAGCGGAGAAGGTTCAGGTATGGGGGTCGAGGGGTCGGGCGTCAGTCCCACTCGGGTGAGGCAGGGCGGGACTGTGACCTTGGTCCAAGGCCTTGCGGGAGGGAAAGTGAGACCCGGGCCCGCCCCGCACCGGGGCTGAGCGGTTGTGGCCTCTCCGCAGCTCGCATGTGGAAGATGCTCACCTTCTTCGTCGCGCTCCCGGGGGTGGGAGTCTGCATGCTGAATGTGTACCTGAAGTCGCAAAAAGAGCACGAGAGACCCGAGTTCGTCGCCTACCCTCATCTCCGCATCAGGACCAAGGTACGCTGTTGCCTCTCTCTTCAAACGTCCGTTCTCTGTGCCTTAGTGCAAGCTCTTCATTCTCTAAAAGCGTGGGTGCCAGGCGTGTACAGCTCGTTTAATCCTCACAAACAGAAAATGTATTTTCTTCCATTTTGTGGAAGGACAGCTGAGACTCGGGATGACGTCTCAGTTTTCTTCAGGGTCAGTGAGTGCCCTTCAGTTTCCCGTTTCTCCGATTCATCACGCCTCCTGTCGTCTGATACAGTTCTGAAACAGGTGTCCGTTGTGTAAAGCGTGGCGTTTGGGAGATCTTATTAGAGTGGTAAAGTCTGAAGGTGGTTCGCCTAAGACCTGGGCATCTGGCAGCTACTAGTTGGATAATGAAGAGACAGACAGCTTTCTGTATTCCTTATCAATACCTTATTTTCTCCACTGTGTTATCATTTGGCTGTTGATGTAGATATAGTACAGTGGTTTGTCCTCTGTTGTTTGCTTTATCTTTAACGAGGGCCTGGTGGCTCATGCCTGTAATCCCAGCACTTTAGGAGGCCGAGGCGGGCGGATCACGTAAGGTCAGGAGTTCCAAGACCAGCCTGGTCAACATGGCGAAACACCGTCTCTACTAAAAATACAAAAATTAGCCGGGCGTGGTGGCGGGCGCCTGTAATCTCAGCCACTCGGGAGGTTGAGTCAGGATAATCGCTTGAACCCGGGAGGTGGAGGTGGCAGTGAACGGAGACGAACCATTGCACTACAGCCTGGGCGACAGGAGTGAAACTCCATCTCAAAATAATAATAATAATACACTTGATCTTAGCCAAAAGGCCAAGAAGCGATGAAAAAAAATTATTACATCACCTAGCCCACATAGGATTGGCCTCATAGAAACTTAACCTAGACTCTTGAATTATTGAGTCTTTGAGCAGCACAACCACCCTTGCACAGTGGCATTAGAAGCCAAACAGCAAAGGTTTCTAAGCCTCAGCACTGTTGACATTTTGGGCTGAATAATTCTTGTGCACTGTGAAATGTTTAGCCGTATCCTTGGCCTGCACCCACTAGGTGGCAGTAGTACCTACTCAGCTCCCCCTACCCCCACCATCACAGTGTCTCCAGATACCACCCGGTGTTCCCTGGAGGAGCAAAATCACCCTGGGTTGGAGACCATTGCCCGAAAGTAATGCTTTTTCAAAGGTAATGGGCAAGATAATTAAGGGTGAGTTGCAGTTTCCCAGCCCAGATACTGTTTGAAGTTTGGGATGGTGCCAGAAATGTGCATTTAATTATCTTCCTCCCCTAATTCTCACTGCCACCATTTTGATACAGGTGATTTGAGGATTATGCTTTCATAAACACAGCATTGGATATGCTAGTTACTAGGGAGAGGATTATAAGTAACTAACTTTAGCTTGCATTTTCTGCCATCCATATTTGTTTCTGCAATTAAAACTATCCTGTAGGCAGGATAACTTGAAGAGCTCCCTTGGTAGTTAGAAGAGCTCCTTTAAATAGTGGGAAGGTTGAACTATGCCAGTAGATAAAGGACTAATTTCCATATTGTTTTTATATATGATCTGTCACCTGTTTTAAGCAGTTCATGGCAGTGTTCTTTCTGAACTATTATCCGGAATTATCTAACTGACATCTTCACTCCACAGCCGTTTCCCTGGGGAGATGGTAACCATACCCTATTCCATAACTCTCATGTGAATCCACTTCCAACTGGCTACGAAGATGAATAAAGAGAATCTGGACCACTGTCTGGGCATCAGGGACCACAGCACTGGTTTGGACCATTACTCTGCACATGGACCAGAAAAAGTATATGGGACCTTAAGCTCACCTTCTTTACCTGTATCAGTTGATGACTGGTATACTGATCTTCCATTCTTTTGCTTGTGGCAGGAGATGGCTTAAATAAATAACTTAAACTTAGATTGGTCATGAGCTGAGAGTTATATTCTTTGGTTGTGGGTTTGTTGTTGTTGTTGTTGTTGTTGTTGTTTTTCCAGAAATTAGCATTTGAGCTTGAAGTCAGTGCCAAGTTGACAAGAAATTGGCGTTAGAGTTATTTCTGTTTCCACAGTGAAGGTCCAGGCTGCTGTTTAGCGTTACAGGTCCAATTCAGGCCAATGAATGAGTGCTTATTACAGTCCCCCTTGGTTTCTTGTGCCTGATGTTAGTAAAGCCAAGGGACCAAGTGGAGTGGTGCGAATTAAGCATCAAGATTGGTCCTTGGCTGGGCACATGGCTCATGCCTGTAATCTCAACATTTGGGAGGCCGCAGTGGGTGAATCACTTGAGGTCAGGAGTTTGAGACCAGCCTGGCCAACATGATGAAACCCCATCCACTAAAAATACAAAAATTGGTTGGATGTGGTGGTATGCATCTGTATCTTGGTATAGAGGCTTGAACCCAGGAGGTGGAGGTTGTAGTAAGCCAAGATTGTGCCACCGTACTCCAGCCTGCACGACAGCAAGACTGTCTCAAAAAAAAAAAAACAAACCAAAGATAGTTCCTTGACAGGCCTAGGATGTCAGAAACTTTTAATGGCTAGCAGAATGTCTGCATTTTATACCTGACAGAGGTACCTGTGTTTCTCAAGAGGAAATGCTTGCTCTGGGTCTCATCTTTTTCCTGTCCCGTTCCACTACCATTTGCTGTAGAATCTTCCCTGTCGTCAGATAATTTTCTCCAATGTGTCAAGTTCTTACCTTGAGGTAATCTCCTTCAGGGCTGGTAGGGTCAGAAATCTTAAGAGAAATAAAGGGAGTGTGACACATTTCTGCTTATAGTATTGGCTTTGTTTCTGGAATTAAAACTATCCTTTAGCCATAAGAATTAGGAGAAATGAAAAAAAAAAGTAAAAAGAAAGGCCAGGCAGGTTGGCTCACGTCTATAATCCCAGCACTTTGGGAGGCTGAGGCAGGTGGATCACTTGAGGTCAGGAGTTCGAAACCAGCCTGTACAACATGGCAAAATCCCATCTTTAAAAAAAAAAAAAAGAATTAGTAGAAATGCAGTAGTTGTAGTAGTTAGAAAACCACTGAGAGGGCAATTAATTGCACATCAAAATTTAAAACCTTTTTGGGAGGCCTAGGTGGGCAGATCATGAGGTCAAGAGATGGAGACCATTCTGACCAACACAGTGAAACCCCATCTCTACTAAAAATATAAAAATTAGCTGGGCGTGGTGGCGCATGCCTGTAGTCCCAGCTACTTGGGAGGCTGAGCCAGGAAAACTGCTTGAACCTGAGAGGTGGAAGTTGCAGTGAACTGAGATCGCGCCACTGCACTCCAACCTGGCGACAGAATGAGACTCTCTCAAAAAAAAAAAAAAAAAAAATTTAAAAACCACTTTTTTTGTTAGATGGAGTCTTTTTGTCATGCTGGCTATAATGCAGTGGCACAATCTCAGCTTACTGCAACCTCCTTTTTCTGAGTTGAAGCGATTCTTCTGCCTCAGCCCCCTGAATAGCTGGGACTACAGGTGTGCACCACCATGCCTGGCTAATTTTTTTTGTATATTTAGTAGAGATGAGGTTTCGCCATGTTGGCCAGGCTGGTCTTGAACTCTTAACCTCAGGTAATCTGCCTGCTTTGGCCTCCCAAAGTCCTGATTACAGGCGTGAGCCAGTGTCCCTGGCCAGAGCGGGTTTATTCTTAAGGCTCAAAGGAACACTTGTGGTAACGGTCAAGAGGCAACGAGGCATTTCATAGTTTATTACATTAAACTGGTAATGTAATGGCAAAGGTAAGGTATATACAGTACAGAACAGAGAATCTCATTATCTTTGCCATTTTGTGATATAACAGCCTGCACTTCTCAGTCCCTATAGAGCTGTTTTGCTTGAGGCCAGTCTGAGTTTAAGATAGATGTATTATACTTACTTCAGCTTGCTGCCTGGCCTCACTTGGCTGGGTTCCAAACATCTTTTGTAATCCTTGGATAACGGACCCTAGCCAGTCATAAAATATAAATGAAGAATGTTTTGAAATGACACCTAAAGTCAAGTCACGTTAAATATGATGTAGCAGCCGGGCGCGGTGGCTCAAGCCTGTAATCCCAGCACTTTGGGAGGCCGAGGCAGGTGAATCATGAGGTCAAGAGATCGAGGCCATCCTGGTCAACATGGTGAAACCCCGTCTCTACTAAAAAAATACAAAAAATTAGCTGGGCATGGTGGCACGTGCCTGTAATCCCAGCTACTCAGGAGGCTGAGGCAGGAGAATTGCCTGAACCCAGGAGGCGGAGGTTGCGGTGAGCCGAGATTGTGCCATTGCACTCCAGCCTGGGCAACAAGAGCGAAACTCCGTCTCAAAAAAAAAAAAAAAAAAAAAAAAAATATGATGTAGCAATTGGTAAAGTGGAGAAAAGACAATAGAATTAGGGCCTTCTATAAATCGGGTTTATTTTTCAGACGGTCTTGCTCTATCACCCAAGCTGGAGTGCAGTGGTGCAATCACAGCTTACTGCAGTCGCCACCTCACAGGCTCAGGTGATTCTCCCATCTCAGCCTTTCAAGTAGCTGGGACTGAAGGCACACACCACCATACCCGGCTAATTTTTTTGTAGAGACAGGGTTTCACCATGTTGCCCAGGCTGGTTTCGAATTCCTGAGCTCAAGTGATCCGCCCACCTCAGTGTCCCAAAGTGTTAAGATTACAGACATGAGCCACCATACCCGGGCTGTAATTCAACCTTCATACTATTTTTGGGCATATAATAAAATTAAATTACACAATTGTGGGGATCACGTGACATTCTAAAGTCCACGAGTTCTCTTCTGAGCCTGACTTTTTTGATACCATAATATATTTGTGTAGCCCATTGTGGCAATAAATTTTAGAAATAGTGAGGTTTTGGCTGAGTGTGGTGGTTCATGCCCATAGTCCCAGCAGGTGGGCAGATCACCTGAGGTCAGGAGATCAAGACCAGCCAGGCCTACATGGTGAAACCCTGTCTCTACTAAGAATACAAAAATTAGCCAAGCATTGTGGTGTACACCTGTAATCCCAGCTACTCAGGCGGCTGAGGCAGGAGAATCATTTGAACCCAGGAGTTGGAAGTTGCAGTAAGCTGAGATTGCGCCACTGCACTCCAGCCTGGCTGACAGAGCAAGACTGTCTCAAAAACAATCAGTGAGGTTTCTGATGGCCATACTGTACCACCTAGCTTAGACAAGTCACATTTTCTTCACCTTTCACAAAACACAAAACTCCCAGTGTATATATGAGGTTTGTAGGATAACAGGGTTAATAGTTCCATAAAATGCACTGAGTTCCAGAGGCAAATAATGATAGAAAATGTTACAATTTATTCCATCTTCATGATTACAGACATTATAGGGCAGGATGAGTAAACAAGGCAAATAAAGCAAGCACCTTCAGCTTCCCCCCCATTTAACCAGATGCAGCATTTTGACATTTTTAGGATATGCAGTTGACAATTCACCGACTTGGGTTGATAGCTGGCAACAGATCTTTGCACGTTAGGTTCTTCCTCCACAGCTATTCCAAGTATCTTAATTCGTGAACTAAAAATTAAGAGAGCACTGAGAGCTCTGAAATGGTGTTCACTGCAACACTCTTGCAGCTTACACATCTTAACCTGACACCTCTCGTGAAGGCAGGGAACTGTGTTAAAAGTTGTCTTCCTCTTTGCTAATCCAGGCCACCAGCAATCTTAACCACTGGTCACCATATAAAAATAAAAGTGTCCTCAAAAGCACTTCCTGAAACTGTTCTGCCCAGATCCCTTTTCAGAGCATTAGTTCCCTGAGAGAAAAAAGCAGCCCTAACCAATTGCTTTCATGAACAATGACCCCAGTGCAGTGTATATGATGTCCTTTGCAGCAGAAATCAAGAGGTCAGGCACCTCTGCTCATTCTAACTAGTTTATCATTATTTGCATACAAGGTATATTTATGTAAAGTTGATTCCAGACCAAGTATTGCAACCATAATTTCAAAAAATTGTTCAATTTTAGCACACTGAGTTCCTGCAAGATGCCCGAGCAGGTGAAAAATAATCTCAAAGAGTTCATCATCTTTTACAATTGAGAGGAAAACATCAAAGGAGGAAATAAAACTCCTCTCGCCTCAGTTCCTCCTGAAATCTGATGGCTATCTTCACAGATTCAGTTGACAAAAATCCAGAGTTCTCAGTTTCTGGACTTGAGGACTCCTTCATGGTGTCTATCAAGGTCAAGAAGAATTTTCAGGCTTTTCTTTGCCATGGCCCATGAATTCCAGTCCTTCAATAGGAATCTCTTTCTCCTTTATTGCTTTCTGGTAAGAGGAGAAAACACATTTTGAAGACCTATATGAAGCTTGAGTTGCAAGCTTTGTAAATAAAATATGACAGCACAAAAGTAAAGTCAAGCTGACTATAAAGACTCATAACCATGATTCAAACTACATACTTTTTAAAAACAAGTACTGGGCTGGGCGCGGTGGCTCAAGCCTATAATCAGTCCCAGCACTTCGGGAGGCCGAGGCGGGTGGATCACGAGGTCAAGAGATCGAGACCATCCTGGTCAACAAGGTGAAACCCCGTCTCTACTAAAAATACAAAAATTAGTTGGGCATGGTGGAGCGCGCCTGTAGTCCCAGCTACTCGGGAGGCTGAGGCAGGAGAATTGCTTGAACTCAGGAGGCGAAGGTTGCCGTGAGCCGAGATCCCGCCATTGCACTCCAGCCTGGGTAAGAAGAGCGAAACTCCATCTCAAAAAAAAAAAAAAAAAAACAAGTGGGCCGGGCGCGGTGGCTCAAGCCTGTAATCCCAGCACTTTGGGAGGCCGAGGCGGGTGGATCACAAGGTCAAGAGATCGCGACCATCCTGGTCAACATGGTGAAACCCCGTCTCTACTAAAAATACAAAAAATTAGCTGGGCATGGTGGCGCGTGCCTGTAATCCCAGCTACTCAGGAGGCTGAGGCAGGAGAATTGCCTGAACCCAGGAGGCGGAGGTTGTGGTGAGCCAAGATCGCGCCATTGCACTCCAGCCTGGGTAACAAAAGTGAAACTCGGCCTCAAAAAAAAAAAAAAAAAAAAAAAAAAAAAAAAAAAAATTAGCTGGGCATGATGGCGCATTCCTGTAATCCCAGCTACTCAGGTGGCTGAGGCGAGAGAATAGCTTGAACCCAGGAGGCAGAAGTTGCAGTGAACTGAGATTATGCCACTGCACTCCAGCATGGGCAACAGAGCGAAACTCTGCCTCAAAAGTAAATAATAAATAAAAACCGGAAGTACCATAATGAATAAATCAAGCGTTAAGACCTGAGGGAGACTGGAAAAGGAGTTGTGAGGGAACCGTTAAAATTAAGTGAAGTTTGAAAAATAACATCACTTTGTGCTACTGAAAGACTCAGGTTCAAATCTGGGTTCCAGGACTTACACTGGCTATGAGCCACCCTCGCTTCCCTGAACTGTAAATGGGATCAAGACAGCAACTACCTGGGGGAACTACCGTGAGGATGTATTACGTTAACTTATTGGAAGTGCTTTTGCCCAGTGCTGTTCTTACAGTTCAAAGCAGTTCCACATCCATTAGGCTAGAGTGACCATTTCCTATCTGGTTGGGGGGACTGGTAGAGAGAGAGAAACAAGCTACTGAAGGGCTTATAACGACAAAACAATGTGATCCTCCAGTCTGAAGTATAACCCCGCCAAGACCCCAGCAGTAATAGTGGAAAACTGCACCACCTGCGAAAGAATCAAGGAAACCTGATTCTAGTGAACCGGGACCAATCACTTCCTACTTCCGTGTGTTAGTTCTCTATCTATACAATATGATATGCCCACCTTGCAAGTTTAGGATGAACACCAAATGAACCAAAGGATGTGAGTGTGCCTTTTTTTGAGACGGAGTTTCGCTCTTTTTGCCCAGGCTGGAATGCAACGGCGCGATTTCGGCTCACTGCAAACTCCGCCTCCCGGGTTCAAGCAATTCTACTGCCTCAGCCTCCCGATTAGCTGGGATTACAGGCATGTCACCATGCCCAGCTAATTTTGTATTTTTAGTAAAGACGGGTTTCTCCATGTTGGTCAGGCGGGCCTCGAACTCCCGACCTCAGGTGACCTACCCACCTTGGGCTCCCAAAGTGCTGGGATTACAGGTGTGGGCCACCGCGCCCGGCCGACTGTGCTTCTTAAAAAGAAAAGCACTGCACCAATATTTGTCATTCGGAGAGACACCCAAGTGGCCTCGGTGGTGATGGTACGGGATAAGGTTCCTCCCACTGGTCTCACTGCAGCTGTTCTCCACCCTCCCAGTCCCAAGCCCCGTAAAATACGATGAGGGTGGCGGAGGCAGCGCGAAGAACGCGGGGCCTGGGAACTGAGGCGCGAGAGCTCACCTGAACACACTGCTGGTAGCGCTTGAAGAGATCGGTGCACGGGTCCCCGGAGCTGTCCCCCTTGAGAAACTTCTCGGCGAACCAGCGATTGAAGCACTGGTCGTACTCGCGCTTCATGTCGGTACATGCCTCCCCCACACTGTTCATGGCGGTAGCGGTGACGGCGGCGACGGCGGCGCACTCTGATGTCATCACTGAGTCGCGCCGCTCGGCGTTACGTACGGACACACTACGGGGGCCAAGGAAGGAAGAAATGTGGGCGCGGGCGTTGTGGCTAGGCCTTCGGGCCCCGCTGGGCGGGCCCCGGGGCTTCACCTCCAAGACAGATCTTCAGGTAAAGGCCAGGGCCATCTAGGCGGGTGGCGAAGCAAACCGGGAAGCGCTCCAGAGCGTCGGTGACTCACATTCACCGGGTCCCGCCGGTGACCCACACTCCCCGCCTCATTCCTCTTCCAGGGCAGTGGCCGAATCACGGCCGAGGTGATCGAGCACCTGGAGCGTCTAGCACTTGTGGACTTCGGCAGCCGGGAGGCAGTAGCGCGGCTGGAGAAAGCCATCGCCTTCGCCGACCGGCTACGCGCCCTGGACACCGACGGGGTGGAGCCCATGGAGTCGGTCCTGGAGGACAGGTAACCTTGGCGGCTGCAGCCTCGAAGCCTTAACTGTGGCCAGTTCACAGCCGTTTATTTTTATTTATTTATTTTTGAGGAGATTCGCTCTGTTGCCCAGGCTGGAGAGCAATGGCGCGATCTTGGCACAGTGCAGTCTCTGCCTCCAGGATTCAAGCGATTCTCCTGTCAGCCTTCCGAGTCGCTGGGATTATAGGTGTGCACCCACTCCCGGCTAATTTTGTATTTTTAGTAGAGACGGGGTTTCTCCATATTTATCAGGCTGGCCTCGAACTCCCGAGCTCAGGTGAGCCACCCACCTCGGCCTTACCAAAATGCTGGCATTACCGGCGTGAGCCACCGCGCCCTGCTCGCAGGTGTTTAATGTGGTTGTTAGCGAACCATTTTCCAGGGGATGAAAGAGGAACTTGCCCACCGTCACCCTCAGAGTCAGTGACTTTCCTCTTCCCCGTGTTCATTACAGATGCCCTCGCTCGTGTCCTCCTAGCTAACCAGAAACAAAACCCCATCGCCTTTGAGGCCCTACTTCATGCATAGAGTCTCTGCCTACTCACTCAAAGGTACTGCTGTTCTCAGTACCCTCCTTGGCGTCCTTGACTGCTTCTCCAGAAAGACAACTTCTTTCCCTCTCTAGATCTTTGCACTGGCCTTTCGTTTTTTTCCTGCCTCTGGGTATTTGCATGGCTGTCTCCCTCTTGGCACAGGTTTCACCTTATCTTCTCAGAAAGGGCTCTCCTTACCACTCTAAATCCCTTCTCCCCTTGTAGTCAGTAACCCTTATCCTGTTGAGTTTTTTCCTGACGTTTTAATGGACTTTTGTCCATTTCTTGTCTCTTTTATTACAATGTGAACTCATTATTTTATTTGGTTACTGTTGTATTCCTGCCTCGATTTTTTTTTTTTTTTTATTGTTTTTGAGACAGAGTCTCACTCGGTCACCCAGGTTAGAGTACAGTAGCATGATCTCATTGCAACCTCTGCCTCCTAGGCTCAAGAGATCCTCCCACCTCAGCCTCCCAAGTATAGGACCGTAGTCATGTACCACCAGGCCCAGCTAATTTTTTGGTTTTGGTAGAGACAGGATTTTGCCATGTTGTCCAGGCTTGTCTCGACTCCTGAGCAAAGGCCTACCTCAGCCTCCCAAAGTGCTGGGATTTACAAGCATGAGTCACAGTGCCCGGCCCAGTGTTTGATTCTTTCGAATCTTCTCTCCACTTGGCAATTTTCTTTTTTCTTTGGGATAGGGTCTCACTGTGTTGCCCAGGCTGGTCTCAGACTTCTGGACTCAACATCCTCTTGTCTCAGCCTCCCACGTAGCTGGGACTATAGGTGCACACTACCACACCTGGCTAATTCTTAAATTTTTGTAGAAACAGGGTCTTGCTATGTTACCCAGTCTGGTCTCAAACTCCTGGTCTCAAGCATCCTCCGACCTCAGCCTCCCACTTCCTCAAGGAAGTTTTTTTTTTTTTTTTTTTTTTTTTCTTTGAGATGGAGTCCCGCTTGTTGCCCAGGCTGGAGTGCAGTGGCATGATCTCAGCTCACTGCAACCTTTACCCTCCAGGTTCAAGCAATTGTTGTGCCTCAGCCTTCTGAGTAGCTGGGATTACAGGCATCCACCACCACACCCAGCTACTTTTTTTATTTTTAGTAGAGACGGGGTTTCACCATGTTGACCAGGCTGGTCTTGAATTCCCGGTCTCAAGTGATCTACCCGTCTTGGCCTCCCAAAGTGCTGGGATGTTTATTTGCTGGCCCAAAAAAACTTCATTCTTTTATACTTAGGTGCTCTACCTGTGGCTCTCATGGTATCCAAAAGGGCTATTTACATGTATTTACACATCTATTTAAGGGATGTATTGAGTCTCTGCCCCTCTCCTGCTCACCTACTTTCCAGAACGTCTGTTTTTTGCTCATGTTTTCAGTGGTTGGCACTGAGTATTTGGTAAATGCTTTTTTCTTTTGTGAGATGGAGTCTCACTCTGTTGCCCAGGCTGGAGTGCAATGGTACCATCTCAGCTCACTGCAGCTTTCACCTCCCCGGTTCAAGCAATTCTCTGTCTCAGCTTCCCAAGTAGCTGGGACTACAGGTACCCACCACCATACCCAGCTAATTTTTTTATTTTTAGTAGAGATGGGGTTTCACCATGTTGGCCAGTCTGGTCTCAAAATCCTGACCACAGGTGATCCACCCACCGTGGCCTCCCAAAGTGATGGGATTACAGGCATGAGCTACCACACCCATCCATTGTTCTTTATTAACATCTCTAGGAAAGGACGGACTAGAAGCACAGAGTTGTCAGAATTTCCGAAGCAATCTAAAGGGTAAATATAAAGAAATAAAACCATTATAAGGGAAGAGGTCGTGAAAAAAGATGACGAGGAATCTGGATCTAGTAGCTAGCATCTCATCCTGGTATTCAGTGGTCTGTACTGTTTTTCATAAATGTGGAAACCAGTTTGGGTTAATGATTCCCATTAATCATTTTATTTATTTATTTTTATTTTTATTTATTTATTTTTTTTTTTTTGAGGCGGAGTTTCACTCTTGTTACCCAGGCTGGAGTGCAATGGCGCGATCTCGGCTCACCGCAACCTCCGCCTCCTGGGTTCAGGCAGTTCTCCTGCCTCAGCCTCCTGAGTAGCTGGGATTACAGGCACGTGCCACCATGCCCAGCTAATTTTTTGTATTTTTTTAGTAGAGACAGGGTTTCACCATGTTGACCAGGATGGTCTCGATCTGTTGACCTCGTGATCCACCCGCCTCGGCCTCCCAAAGTGCTGGGATTACAGGCTTGAGCCACCGCGCCCGGCCCTCCCATTAATCATTTTAATTTGACATTTGTAGGACTTTAATGTTTTGAAAACACTAACAGAATCCAGTAAAGACAGGTATTCAACTTTTTTTTTGTTTTGGCAGTTTTTATAACTTTATTGATGTATTTGATGATCAGCAAGTTAGTTCACATCCACACTGTAGATCTGTGAAAGTGGTAACAAGTACATAGGTAACCAAAGTATAGAGCTTGTTTGGTGAATTTCCATTATTATTATGTTTTCTGGACCACCCACTGCACATGGATACAGTATGGACATTCCTTACTACTTTGGCCAGACAGCTTTTTTGAGTCTGTTATCAATGTACGTATCTGGAGTTTTCCACCTCCTTCGTGGCAAATTTCCCACCTCTTTAAGAGCCTGAGGGGCTTGCTGCTTGAAGTCCACTCAGTGGATATGCCTATGAATGCTGATGTTGTCCTCTTGGGTCACCACCTAGTTGATGGCAAAATGGCCAATATTCTTCTCACCATCCTTCTTTGCAGGATCCCAAGTTTCTTAAATGGTTTTAGGTAGTAGCCATCTTAGCTATAAAAGCCCTGACTTGGCCAGGCATGATGGCTCATGCCTGTAATCCCAGCACTTTGAGAGGCTGAGCTGGGCAGATCACTTGAGGTCAGGAGTTTGAGACCAGCCTGGCCAAGATACCGAAACCATGTCTCTACTAAAAATTACAAAAATTAGCAGGGCATGGTGGCATGTGCCTATAGTCCCAGCTACTCTGAAGGCTGAGGCAGGAGAATCGCTTGAACCCAGGAGGCAGAGGTTGCAGTGAGCCGAGACAGCGCCACTGCACTGCAGCCTGGGCAACAGAGTGAAACTTGGTCTCCAAAAAAAGAAGAAAAAGTCCTGACTGGTTAATAGAAATCTCTTTGCACACTAATAACATGTCATTTGGTTTGAGCTAAAAACATTAGTGTGCTTGTATGACAGAGGCTTGGTTTTTACATACAGTCCTAGAAGGTCAATACAAGTTATGTTTTATAGATGGGAAAAACTGAGGTTCGGAAAGGTTATGTAATGTGCCCAGAGTTTCACAGTAATAAATGGGGGATTTGGAACTCAGAGCTTCTGCTCCCAAATACTGCTCTAAGATATGCCAGCTAAAGTCAGTTCCTAGGAACTTTATTCTCTTTCATCTGAAATCCAGATAATGAGTTTACAGCAACTCTGATTGCAACCGAATACTTAAATGTCCCATGTCCCTCAGAGTCTTATTTGAACCAAAAACTTCAAACTCTTGGGCTCAACCCTTTCCTCCTACCTCAGCCTCCCAAGTAGCTGGGACTAGAGGTGTGTACCACAATGCCCAGCTAAGGTTTATTTTTTTATTTTGTTTTATTTTTGTAAACAGAGAGTCTTGCTGTGTTGCCCGGGGGTCTTGAACTCCTGGGCTTGAGGGATCCTTCTGCCTCAGCCTCCCAAAGTGTTGGGATTATAGGCATGAGCCATCATGCCTGGCCTGAACCCAGACCTTTTTTCCAAGACAGGGTCTCATTCTGTCACCCAGGCTGCAGTGCAGCGGTACAATCTCAGCTCACTGCAGCCTCCATCTCCTGAACTCAAACAATCCTCCCACCTCAGACTCCCGAGTAGCTGGGACTACAGGCACACGGCACCACCCCTGGCTTTTTTTATTTTTAGGGGAAATGGGGTTTCACCATGTTTCCTAGGCTGGTTTCAAACTCCCGGGCTCAAGCAATCCACTCGCTTCAGCCTCCCTAAGTGTTGGGATTATAGATGTGAGCCACCTTGCCTGGCCAGAACTTTTAACCAAGGGTTACCTCTGAATGGTGTAATTATAATTTTTATTCCAGTCTGCGTCAAACTAGAAAAAAACTAGGAGAAAAGAAAAAGGCTTTTAGATGGAAGTAGAAGGGTCCATAAGAATCTATTCTTAGGCCGGGCACAGTGGCTCACGCCTATAATCCTAGCACTTTGGGAGGCCGAGGCAGGTGGATCACGAGTCAAGAGATGGAGACCATCCTGGTCAACATGGTGAAACCCCGTCTCTACTAAAAATACAAAAATTAGCTGGGCATGGTGGTGCGTGCCTGTAGTCCCAGCTACTTGGGAAGCTGAGGCAGAACTGCTTGAACGCAGGAAGTGGAGGCAGCAGTGAGCTGAGATCGCACCATTGCACTCCAGCCTGTGTAACAAGAGCGAAACTCCGTCTCAAAACAAAACAAAACAAAAAACAAGAATTTATTCCTTCCAGCCAGATACCAGGGAAGAGGCTTAAGGAAACAAAAGCACTGGGAAAACTGTCCCATCAGTCAAAGGCCTGACAGGATCGCAAATGGAGCCACTTGATCCTCCCTGATGCCACAACACTTCCCAATGCCATTGCAGCAGCATTTCCCACAGTTACTTCTTGTTGTTCGTGAGTTTTAGTCAGCAGGGACTTGTAGTTTACAGCTGAAGTCTTTCTCAACCAGGGTACCTCACTCAAACCAGAACACAAAGTTTCAAGTGACTTTTTCAGTTCTCCTAAGGACAGTACATGACAAATGTTAGCCCAAACACATAGGAGAGAAGTTAATTTATCATCAGAATGGGTGTCTTGGGGTATGTGGGCTAACTTACCTTACAGAAATCTGATTAGGAAAGACAGGAAGTGAGGTAGCTCAGTCAATCAGCAGTTGATCTGAAGAGCTCATCTGGTCCTGTTTGGTGTTTTATACAATTCTGAGGTCCAAGAAAGTGAAGTAACTCACCAAGTGAGAGGTATGCTTGCTGTACCACTGTCAGAGACTATGGGTTCAGTAGCCCATAATTAAGAAAATAAAGCTGGGCATGGTGGTACACACCTATAATCCCAGCTACCTGGGAAGCCGAGGCAAGAGGATCACTTGAGCCCGGAAGTTTGAGACCAGCCTAGGCAACACAGCAAGACCCTGTCTCAAAAAAAAAAAAAAAAAAAAAAAAAAAAAAAAAGACGACCTCAGAAGACATGGGTCTATTTATTTTAGGAATAAAACTCCATCATAATCAGTAACTAAATGAAAATATGTGGTAAATAAAGGGGTGAATTTTGTTTTCCTGGAAATTCCACTTAGCAGGAAACTTGATTACCAAACTTGATTACTTGATGATGAGTAAATAAATTAGCTGCTATTAGATCTACTCTTGGGGAAACAGTAGCATTTAACCGCCTGTTGGCAGTACTAGAATCTTCTCAAAACCTTCAGATGCTAGGCAGGTAATGCCTCGTCACAAGTGCAGACTCTGAATGAGTGGTGGGGACTGGGTATACTGGGGTGCACTAAGGCTTTCTGAAAGGAGCAGGTGCCACTCAGACCCCTCTCTTACTGCTGTGAGTGCAGGCTCAACATTATCAGATCTTGTTTTTTAGGATCATTTCATCCCAGAAATCCTATAAGGCATTTGACAAACAAGGAAACTGAAATATGGAGAGGATAAGTAACGTTAGCATTGGGATCTGAATTGAGCTCTGACTTGAGAGCCTAATCTCTTAGTCATTTTTTAATACTGTCCAACAGAAAATATAAACTCCAAAAAGTCCAGGAATTACCTTTGAATGGTATGATTTTTACTTATGTTCTCCCACATTTTCTTAATGCGCAGTCCTTGTGTTATTACAAAAAAAAAAAAAAAAATCCAGTGTGACTCTTGTGTGGGAGACACTATCTCACTCTGCCACCCAGGATGGAGTACAGTGGTACAGTCTCTGCTCACTACAACTTCTGCTTCCCACGAAGCAGAGAATCCTTCAAGTGATTCTCGTGCCTCAGTGTCCCGAGTAACTGGGATTATAGGTATGCACCACCATGCCTGGCTAACTTTTGTATTTTTGGTAGAGACAGGGTTTCACCATATTAGATGGTCTCGAACTCCTGACCTCAGGTGATCCACCTGCCTCAGCCTCCCAAAGTGCTGGAATTACATGCGGGAGCCACCGCACCTGGCCCTTTTTTTTTTTTTTTTTTAAATAAGAAATTTAATGTCTGAAAAGATACTTGTTCAAGGCCACAGTTAAGAATGTGCCAGATCCTGTAACAGACTTTTAGTATTCGTACCATGAATAAATATTTGTGTTTAGCTTGGGGCTGGGTGCCCCCCCGCCACACACACACAAAACTAGTCCTTTTCTAAAAGAATCTCATTGTGACAACTTTGTTCTTATGTGCAGCCTTAGCCCAGATGTTTCTGTCACATCTTTGTCCCTCTATGACATGACTCAAACACCATTAGGCTCTGCCCTGTCTGTGTCCACTCAAAGCAGGAGCATGGCTACTACTGATTACCGTATCAGTGATTTAACAGACTGCTTATTTTTTAATAAATATCTGGAAGTAAATTTATATACTTTTGTACCTTGAAACAATAGTGAAGCTTCATGCATGTGTTCAAGCTCCTGTTTTTTTTACTGGTTTGCCATCTGAAGGCTTTAGTAAAGTCACCAGGACCCATAGAACACTGGGAGATTCTTGAGCTGTTTGTGGCACATCTCGCTCAAGGGCAGGCACTTTTACATCCACCAAAGTGGCTGTGGTGGAAAAAGCATTCATCTTAGGGGTACCAGATTGGCCTCAGATCCCAGTTCTCTCACTTAGGAGCTAGTATCCTGAAGTAAATCACTCTTTTTTTTTTTTTTTTTTTTTTTTGAGACGGAGTTTCGCTCTTGTTACCCAGGCTGGAGTGCAATGGCGCGATCTCGGCTCACCGCAACCTCCGCCTCCTGGGTTCAGGCAATTCTCTTGTCTCGGCCTCCTGAGTAGCTGGGATTACAGGCACGCACCACCATGCCCAGCTAATTTTTTGTATTTTTAGTAGAGACGGGATTTCACCTTGTTGACCAGGATGGTCTCGATCTCTTGACCTCGTGATCCACCCGCCTCGGCCTCCCAAAGTGCTGGGATTACAGGCTTGAGCCACCGCGCCCGGCAGTAAATCACTCTTGAGGCAAGTTTGCTGCCCCATTTCTGGTTAGGTTCCTAGCTTCATCTTCCACCCCAGGAGACCACACCCCAGCCTGCTAAACTCCCTGCCCCTCTCTGCATCTCTGGACTCTCTCGCTTTGGGATTCATGCTGGTATACATGCCAGGAAGTCCATTTCTCATCCCTTCATCCCCCATCCAGCTATTTCTTGTCTATCCTTGAGCAGTGACATCAGCTAGTCTGAAGATGTGCTACTCAACCAGGCTGAACTAGGTACCCTTTCTATCCTTTGGCAGGCTGTGCTAAACTGTTAAGAAATCTTTTGTTGGGGGGACGGGGTTTCACTCCTATTATTGCCCAGGCAGGAGTGCAATGACTTGATCTCAGCTCACCACAATCTCTGCCTCCCAGGTTCAAGTGATTCTTCTGGTTCAGCCTCCCGAGTAGCTCGGACTACAGACATGCACCACCACCCCTGGCTAATTTTGTGTTTTTAGTAGAAACGAGTTTTTCTCCATGTTGGTCAGGTTGGTCTTGAATTCCTAACCTCAGGTGACCCACCTACTTTGGCCTCTGTTAGATTTAAAATATTGTTTTGTAATTGCCTTTACCTGTCCCCACCAAAAGGCAGTTGCCCATATAACCATCCGAAACTACTTGTTAAATCAATCCAGAGAAGTAACTAGCACTTACTTCACAGGGTTGTTGGGACAATCTATAAACTGCAGGCTGTTTGGTCTACTGTTGATCCATTTCTCTATCTTTGAACAGTGCCTATTTTTTTTTTTTTTTTTTTTTTTTTTTGAGACGGAGTTTTTTGCTCTTGTTGCCGAGGCTGGAGTGCAATGGCGCGATCTCGGCTCACCGCAACCTCCGCCTCCTGGGTTCAGGCAATTCTCCTGACTCAGCCTCCCGAGTAGCTGGGATTACAGGCACGCGCCACCATGCCCAGCTAACTTTTTGTATTTTTAGTAGAGACGGGGTTTCACCATGTTGACCAGGATGGTCTCGATCTCTTGACCTCGTGATCCACCCGCCTCGGCCTCCCAAAGTGCTGGGATTACAGGCTTGAGCCACCGCACCCGGCCATGAACAGTGCCTATTAACACAAGAATATACTGCTTCCTTGTTCTCTCCTTTTTACCCCTCTCCATCATCCCCTAAAAGTCCCCTTCTCTGAGAGGGTAACCTTGAGCTTTTGGGTTTTGTAGATGTCTATACCTGAGATCCGACAATGTAGTAGAAGGCAACTGTGCTGATGAATTACTACAAAACTCCCATCGTGTCGTGGAGGAGTACTTTGTGGCCCCTCCAGGTATGTGCTGCCCAGGGTGGTTTAACAGGCAGTCTCACAGTGACCTTAGGAATGAAGCAAGAAGCCGGGCACGGTGGCTCACGCCTGTAATCCTAGCACTTTGGGAGGCAGAGGTGGGTGGATCACCTGAGGTCAGGAGTTCAAGACCAGCCTGGACATGATGGTGAAACCCCATCTTTAAAAAAATTAAAATTAAAAATTAAAAAAAAAAAAAAGGAATGAAGCAGGAACTGTGAGGACCAAAGATGCTATGTGAAGGCACTTTGAAAAGGATAAAGTACATACAGATGGTGGCATTAAGGTGGCAGTAGAGTCCAGGCCAGGGTCATACTCACCTCTAGGAGGCAGTTAGTAACAGGAATGAGCAAAAGAGGATGTGGAGGGTGGGGTGGGGTTTAGAGTAGGTAGAAATCTGGAGCTCAAGATCTCCCTAAAGGGGCAGCTGGCATTCACTGTTTCTCAAAGCCACAGTTTTAAGACCCTGCCAGATCCTGTAATCAACTCCAACTTTCTAGTATTCATACCATGAATAAATATTTGTTATGTCTAGCTTTGGGCTGGGTGCCACAAAAAAGAACCAGTCCTTTCCTAAAGGAATCTTATTGTGACAACTTAGTTATCATGTGCAGCCTTAGTGCAGATGTTGTCACATCTTGCCGGGCGTGGTGGCTCATGCCTGTAATCCAAGCACTTTGGAGGCCAAGGCAGGCAGATCACCTGAGGTAGGGAGTTCAAGACCAGCCTGACCAACATGGTGAAACCCCGTCATAAAAAAAAAAAAAAAAAAGATGTTGTCACATCTTTGCCTTTTTGACATCACTCAGACGTCATTAGGGTCTGCCCTGAGTCTGTGCCCACTTAAAGTAGAAGCATGACTGCTACCATTTCAGTGGTGCCAGGCAGGAATATAAGCCCATTTCTCCAGAGAACCTGGATACCTGGCATTTTGTGTGATATTTCTTAAATTTTAAGTGCTGGCAACCAATTCAAAATTAAAAAAATAAAATACTATCTAAGCCAAATACAACATACCTGCAAGACAGGTGCAGTCTAGTCTGTGAGCCACCAGTTTGCAACAGCTGGTGTAGAGATCTGCATCATCTACCTCACTGCAAATATTTTAAATAGAAGCTTTAAATTACTCCAGGCTGAGAGTTAAAATCCAGAACCTTGGATAGGTTGACTGTTTTTATCTCCTCTGCAAGTAGGTGCGTATCAGAGCTGTTGTACTACCCCTCTGGGCATTTGGGAGTAGGACTAACCAAAAGCAGTCAGGTAGACTGCTAAGTGCCAACTTACACTTCAGGACACCCCCTGAGGGAGAATCATTCTGAGCAGACTCCATAGAAGACATTGGCCTTGGTCAGCTCAAGGTGCCAGTTAAAAGCAGGCTCTGGTTAAAGCAGGATGGGAAAGAAAGCTAGAAAACTTGTGAGCTAAACTCTTATTCATGCCTCCAATCCACTAAACCATCTGTTAACTGTGGAGAGAAAGGAGACTCCCCATCTCAGAGCCTGATAGTTGTGGCTTCAGCAGATGTATCTATTGATCATACATGCTATCACCTACACAGAACCTTACTTCACATTTTGCTTCTTGGGACCACCTGAGTTCATGGTCATAGTCTTTCCTTCTACTCCTATTTGCATATTAGTGGCTAGTCAACCTGCCTACTCTTTACTGAAAAATGTGCATTAATTTGGCTTCACTTAGAACTGATTCTTCCAGATACCACCAGTTAGGAAAACAGGATAGTAGCTGCACTTACTTCCATATTTTCCATGAGAAACTAAGTGACTAGTTAGCTCAGTAAAGCCAGCTGGGTGGCAGGCTCAGCTATAACATTCTTTTTTGTTGTTTTCAAACAGGTAATACCCCTTTGCCAAAGCTGGATGAACAAGAGCCATTCCCACACAGCTGAGGAACTCATTGTGGAAAGGGGGTACTCTGAACACGTGGAAGCACAATGACAGTATTTTCTTACCGTGAACACTAATGTTCCTGCTTTTCTCAGTTACCTAAAAAAATGGACGCTTAAGCATTTCTAATAACAGACTCTTCTGAAGACAGAATTGGGAAATATCTAGCCCAATAAGTTCTAGAGCCCAAAGATCTATAACAGTGAGTTCCTGATGCTAACTGAAATGAAAGGAAAGCAAAAGTCAGCTTCCAAGGTATTCACTTAACAGGCCTGTTCAGTAAGGAAGACACTATTTATCTGCCTTTAACCCCAAAGGATTGAACCAGCTGCATGAAAATGAACTTTTCCATCTATGTAACTGATAGACGGAGCATCCTGATCACTATGTGACAACCTTGGCTGTCCCTTTTAGTTGCCATTTGCATTGATTTGAGCAGGCCTATCTTGACCAAACATACCTGAATTTGTTCCTGGGCACCCACTTTGTTTCTAGAAAAGGGCTAACTTCCTACTAAGGTCTGAGAGTGTTCAAAGTAAACTAGAGCTTGGGAACGCCTAATCTAGAACTATCTGCCATCCCACAAAGTGATTACATGCAAAAGGGACACTAGTCATACCTAGTGTTTCTGTCTCTGAAAAGAGAACTTGTCCTAAAATTAGTCCTGGGACAAAGCACCCCCAAAATGATTATTAAATTGAGATGAGTCCAAGATTGTGGGTTTTTTTGTTTTAAAACACAGATACCAAGGATAAATGAAACCTATTTAGGGATAAAAGTGATAGAATCAGAGAGAGACTTCTTCCTCTAACCAAACTGCCAGCGTTGGTTTTGGCTAAGAAATTCCCAACGATATTTGCACTGCTGCTCATATTTTTTTTTTTTTTTTGAGACAGAGTTTCGCTCTTGTTACCCAGGCTGGAGTGCAATGGCGTGATCTCGGCTCACCGCAACCTCCGCCTCCTGGGTTCAGGCAATTCTCCTGCCTCAGCCTCCTGAGTAGCTGGGATTACAGGCATGCGCCACCATGCCCAGCTAAGTTTTTTTTTGTATTGTTAGTAGAGACGGGGTTTCACCATGTTGACCAGGTTGGTCTTGATCTCTTGACCTCGTGATCCACCCGCCTCGGCCTCCCAAAGTGCTGGGATTACAGGCTTGAGCCACCGCGCCCGGCCACTGCTGCTCATTTTTTAATTTTTCTGAGACAGGGTCTTGCTCTGATAGCCAGGCTGGAGTGTAGTGGTGTGATCACAGATCACTGCAGCCTCCAACTCCTGGGCTCAAGTGATTTTCCCACCTCGGCCTCCTAAGTAGCTAGGACTACAGATGTGCATCACCATGTCCAGTTAATTATTTTAAGTAGATAAGGGGTCTTGCTATGTTGCATATCCTGTCTTGAACTCCTGGCCTCAAGGGATCCTCCGGCATGCCTTGGCCTTCCAAAGTGCTGGGATCACAGGCATTAGCCACCATGTGTTTATTTTTTCCCATTCCCTTCCTTTTTCTGCAATGCTTTTCTTCTTTAAGGCAGTTTAATTCAGGCTTGGCCTTGAATTAAAAGAGAACCTGCTCTTGCGAGTTGAAGTTCTCAAACCAACATCAGAGCAACTATCTATCCCCATATAGATAAATAAAGTTATCTCCTTACTAACTGAATATGAGTTATGACTACAACTCAATGATTTAAAAAAATTTTTTATAATAATAGAGATGGGGTTTCACCATGTTGGCCAGGCTGGTCTCAAACTCCTGACCTCGTGATCCACCCACCTCGGCCTCCCAAAGTGCTGGGATCACAAGCGTGAGCCACCGCACCCGGTCAACTCAATGATTTTAGTGTGCCTATTTGCTGAAATCTGTGAACTTAATCAAGGACAACCACACATGTCAATTACTAAACGTTTAAAATATATTTCTAAACAGAATGGGCCAACTCAGTAACAGTAACTGCTGATCTCCATAGCAGAGTAACCCACAAAGACAGAACTGATTTCTTTCCCATAATCGGGTGAAAAATATACAACTTGCTTCTGAACCAAAACCACAATTTCTGCAGTTTAAAATGTTTCACTGCTAATATGGCCCTGGTAGAAATTATGTAGTTTTTTTCTTTTTAAAAAAAAAATTAAAAAAATTTCCTAAGACACTAAATGATCAATCTGGAATGTAGATTCTGAGCACAAAACAGCTCAGTCAACCTAAAAAATAAAGAAAAAATTCCCATCACCTGTCTCAGTAGGGCCTGAAAGGAGAGAAGTAGTGTGGGGAACCCCTGCTTTGGTATGGAGAGTCACGGCCCCTTGACCCAGACCGAGACCGTGAGTAGCCATAGCTGGTGCTTCTCTCAGGATAAACTCGGATGTAGGAAGTTTCACCCTGAAATGCGAACAAAAACAGAGTAAAGGGAAAAAAATCAGAGCCAAAAGAATAAGCAAACCAACATCTAACAATAACAGTTAAGTATTGACCATTTACTGTATACTCTGTGCCTGACATGAGGCTATCTCATCAAACCCTCATAACATTAAGAGGTAGATACTCTTACTATCCCATTTCAAGAATGAAGAAAATTAAGACTTCACTTACATCATTTGCCCAAGGTAACACAAATAATAAATGCCAACCTGACATGTTAATACTCAATTAGTGCCGGGCGCTGTGGCTCAAGCCTGTAATCCCAGCACTTTGGGAGGCCGAGGCGGGTGAATCACGAGGTCAAGAGATCGAGACCATCCTGGTTAACAGGGTGAAACCCCGTCTCTACTAAAAATAAAAAAAAAAAATCAGCTGGGCATGGTGGCGTGTGCCTGTAATCCCAGCTACTCAGGAGGCTGAGGCAGGAGAACTGCCTGAACCCAGGAGGCGGAGGTTGCGGTGAGCCGAGATCGCGCCATTGCACTCCAGCCTGGGTAACAAGAGCGAAACTCCGTCTCAAAAAAAAAAAAAAAAAATACTCAATTAGCTATTATAAACAATGTATCTGAATTACTGCCATTGACCCCCACCTCCCACCTCAAGCTAAGAACTGGAAAGGAACTCAGGTCATATAGTTTAATTCTCTGCCACTTCATATATGCATCTCCGGATGGGCATCTATGGAAGGAGCTACCTGTATTTAAGTACCTTCCAGGTGTTGCCAGGCGCGGTGGCTCAAGCCTGTAATCCCAGCACTTTGGGAGGCCGAGGCGGGTGGATCATGAGGTCAAGAGATTGAGACCATCCTGGTCAACATGGTGAAACCCCGTCTCTACTAAAAATACAAAAAATCAGCTGGGCATGGTGGCTCGTGCCTGTAATCCCAGCTACTCAGGAGGCTGAGGCAGGAGAATTGCCTGAACCCAGGAGGCGGAGGTTGCGGTGAGCCGAGATCATGCCATTGCACTCCAGCCTGGGTAACAAGAGCAAAAACTCTGTCTCAAAAAAAAAATAATAAATACCTTCCAGGTGTTAGGATCTCAGCTAGACGCTCTAGATGTTATCCTCTTGTTCTAGCTTCCTGGCAAGTCTTATGATGGTGCTTTTATGTGACCATTTTGCCCATGAAGGAATCGAGGTTCCAAGAGTAGTTCAGTTCAGGTAAGGAATTAATAAGTAGCAGAGGAGTCACGTCCAGGCTGGCTTGTCTCCAAGCCCTCTGCCTTCAGCCGCCATTCTCAGAAGATCCAAAAATCCCAAGGGAAAAGAAGCTAGATGCTTTTTCACCTTAGGTGCAAGTCAGTAATTGGAGTTACCCTTTCTGAGGCCCTGCTTTGCAGTATAACTGAGGATCAGGGGCTGTTCTGTTCCTGCTCCAAATTCAAGTCCTAGAGGACAGTCTGAGCAAAAGCATCATTAAACCATCCAAGGACCAACCTCTAAGCCAAAAACTATGGAATTATATGAATCCTCAGAAAAAGAAATGAGCCCAGAGGTTAATGTCCCCAGACATCCATAAATCCCATAGCAAGGCAGGACAGGATAACAACAACAACAACAAACAACAATGTCTAATTGGTAGTCTGGTATCTGGTCTCAGTGGTACCAAAGGGATAGTCACCACTTGAATCAAATTGAGATCCAAAACAGCAGCTGCTTTCCTACAAGGAAGGACATCAAGACCCACTGAGTCTCAAGGGTGAGGTAATCAACAAGAAGAAAATGTCATGGTTGAGCCCGGCACAGTGGTGCATGCCTGCAGTCCCAAGTACTGGAGAGGCTGAGGTGGGAGGACTGCTTGGGCCCAGGAGTTCAAGGTCACCCTGGGCAATCAATATAATGAGACTCTGTCTCTAAAATCAAAAACTAGAGAAATTTAAAAATTACAAAATTATAAAAGAAAATGTCGGCCGGGCGCGGTGGCTCAAGCCTGTAATCCCAGCACTTTGGGAGGCCGAGGCGGGTGGATCACGAGGTCAAGAGATCGAGACCATCCCGGTCAACATGGTGAAACCCTGTCTCTACTAAAAATACAAAAAAATTAGCTGGGCATGGTGGCGCGTGCCCGTAATCCCAGCTACTCAGGAGGCTGAGGCAGGAGAATTGCCCGAACCCAGGAGGCAGAGGTTGCGGTGAGCTGAGATCGCGCCATTGCACTCCAGCCTGGGTAATGAGCAAAACTCCATCTCAAAAAAAAAAAAAAAAAAAAAAAAGTCATGACAGCTCAGGTTTCAGAGAGGATCCTGTACTACTCTGGGAAAGGAAAAGTGAAATGACAGCTCAGCCCTGACAGCGGGACCTAGATGAGGAGGTTGGTCTGGAGAGCCCAGCCTAGACCCACAGGAGGGGCAGTTGGGTTCACAGAGGGATACTACTGTTTACGCTGGTTGGGAACGGGGTGACATCACAAAATGACTCTCCACATTAAGACAATTGCATTGGTATTCTCTCCAGGTTACAAATACCATGACCAAACTGTGTCATGTGATACCAATAGATAGAATAAAGCATATTTTAAAAAAACACAACATGAATGAACACTTCTCTCAGCTATAACCCTGAAGGACTTAGGTATAGCAAATTCCATGGTTTTGTCCACTTAAGATCTTTCACAGTACTGTCAGGTCACCAACTGGCATGGCCTATTTGCTGCCTCTGCTAGGTCAGGTGAGTGGAATGATTTGAGTACAAGCTCAACAGAAGGAAACGACTTACCTCATGAGAGCGGAATTTGGTGTCATCCAGTTTACGCAGGGCATATTCCATGTCTTCTTTTCTGAGATACTCAACCATCCCCACTCCATCCTTCTGCACATCGGCATAACAGACATCCCCAGCTTCTCGCATGTGATCCTTCAGGTCCTGCCAGCTGCCTGATGGAGGAAGTCCTAGGCACGGAGAACATAAGAAAGCCCACATCCTTCAGCTATGTTAACTGCCCTGTTAAGAGCCAGCACTGCCTACGGTCCCTTCTGCATGATCACTAGGATCCCCAAATCATAAACCTTGATAAGTGACATGAAATCGGAAAAGAGCACTGAAGTACGTGTGGTAAATAAACCATCTTCAGAAGTTGGTTTTAAGTCCATCTTCCAGAGACCAGGCCTTTTCAACATAGCAAGAAGTCCATCCCATGACAGGTTTAGTATCTCTGAGAATTCACAGCCTCTTTCTTTGTTCTTTATAATCAATGCCAAACGCCTAATACTTTTGAGTTCCAATTTTTTTCCATTGTGAAATTTAGCAGTACCAATTATTTATTGCCTGACAGAGTTTCACAGGACATGAGAATTTTGAAACCACACAATGAAATAACCAAAGAGTAGCTGAAGGTAACAACACAACAACAACAACAAAACTAAAGTTTTCTTATAGGTGTGAGTGACAAACTATACAAAGTACCTGTTAAGAGATCACCAACATTCTTCAATACAGTAGAGGGAAAGGTAAGGCTCAGATGCTAAAACTAGTCGGGAGTCATACAACCCTACCTGAAGTCATGAAAGGGAAATGTGCTCCTGCTCTCAAAGGCTGTGTTTACCGCTCACAGCTCAGGACTGCAGCCATTTCCTAATAGTTTTCTAAGCAGGATTTCAGAGCAGCATGGAGAGAAAAAAAGATAATGTATGACATCCTGAAGGAGGGAATAGAGTTCTGGGGTTAAAAAATTACAAAGGGACACACGATAGGCAGATACTGAGAGGATCACTCTTAAGCACATGGGAGTATGCTGTGATTGTGTGACATTCACATCTTAAAAAGGTGCTAGGCTCCTTGATACATTTCACTTCACCAAGGCCCTAAAACTCCCATGCAATATGCAGAAGGCCCCAGGTCTTTCCAGTGTGTTAAAATGTTGAAGATACATAAACCTCCCAGTTTAGCATTTCATCACTTATAAACACTAGACAGAAAACAGTCTATACTTTCCAATAAAATCTCTAACACTCCAAGTTACAGGGTTTTAAAAAATATTTAATTCTAAAACCACCACAAAATTTGATCTTCTTCAGGATCCAAGGCTGGGTAAGTTGTTCAAATCTGGCTCCTGGAATGCCTTTCTACCAAGTCTGATGCCAAGTACATTCCAAAAGAAGAGTCTTTATAATTGTAGCTCAAGGGGTTTTGCCATCATCTTCCCTTCTCACCACTAGAAAACGCCTTTACAAGAAGTATGTTTATATTCTTCCAAGGCTGCACTTCCAGCGCAATTTCATTTGCAGGATACTTGCCTCGTTGGCAATCCAGGGCAGGGCTTCAGACTGGCACTGCACACAGGCTACTGCAAAGAAAGCCCGCATGTCCCATGCACTGAAGAATAACAGCTATCATTTCTTGGAAGCCAGACTCTGTGTTAAGTATTTTACATGTATCATTTCATTCTGTTTGAAAGGAACATACCTGAAACAAGAACTCGGAAATCAGATCTTCTTGTAGGAGGCCCATTCCTCCCACCACGGGGCCACCCACCCCGACCTCCATAAGTCCTGGGGAACTCCACACGAAGCCGACACTGGCCATAATCATAACCATTCCTTCCATAAATTGCATCCTCTGCATCTCTGCAAAAAAAAAAAGTTTGGAGTTAGTGCTGTTCAGGAGACCGAGTGACTTCCTAGTGAGAAGCATAAGTAGTAAGCATAAAAGGGAAACCGAGAGTGAAGGAAGAAAAACACAAATTAGGATCTTGATGCATTTCTGCTTTGGTTTGGAGATGTTTCATGATACTGGAATTAACCTTTATAGCTGTCACACAGTTTTATAGGTTTGAAATTATAATGAATGGTCAAATAGATTATTTATATAAGAGGGCTAATTCAGAGAAAAAAGAATCAACTGCTGACAGATTGATTTTTGCCAATAAACCAGCAGTGTTTTTCTAACCTTGGTGAGCATTTTCTCAAAAAGCATACGACACGCTAACCCCTTAATATTGTTCTAAAAGGCCTAGTGCCATAAAGTCTATGGAAAGAAAAAAATAGCCAGTTAGCCAGGCATGGTGGTGCACACCTGTAGTCCCAGGTACTCAGGAGGCTGAGATGGAAGTGCAGAGCCAAGATCACACTACTCCAGCCTGGGTGACAGAGACCCTGTCTCAAAAAAAACGTAGCCAGTTGGATAGGAGAGTATTTGAGGGAAATAAATAAAGTAGCTGGGTGTGGTGTTTGAAACCAGTTCAAGGCCAACCTGGGTAATACAGTGAGACCCTGTCTCATAAAAAAAATAATGTGCCAGCTGCAGTGGTTCTCACCCCTAATCCCAGCACTTTGGAGGCTGAGACAGGCAGATCACCTCAGGTTCAGGAGTTTGAGACCAGCCTGACCAACATGGAGAAACCCCATCTCTACTAAAAATGCAAAATTAGCCAGGTGTGGTGGTGCGTGCCTGTAATCCCAGCTACTCAGGAGGCTGAGGCAGGAGAATCGATTGAACCCAGGAGGTCGAGGTTGCAGTGAGCCGAGACTGCGCCACTGCATACCAGCTTGGCAACAGAGCAAGACTCCACCTCAAAAAAAATAAAAATAGTAAGGCTCAAAAGACAAATGCAAATGAGTGTTTTGTGACGAATGTGGAAGGAAACAGGGTTTTGCTCGGTCACCAAGACTGAGTGCAGTGGGCTAGAGCATAACTCACTGCAGCCTGTAACTCTTGGGCTCAAGCAGTCCTCCCACCTCAGCCTCCTGAATAGGGCCAGCTAATCTTTGGATTTTTTTGTATAGACAGGTCTCCCTATGTTGCCCAGCCTGGTCTTGAACTCCTAGGCTCAGGCAATCCTCCCACCTCAGTCTCCCAAAGTGCTAGGATTACAGGCATAAGACATTGCATCTGGCCTTGGAACTCTCCTAAGTGTACTTTTCCCGCATGGTTTGGAGAACTATTTTGTCCAAAAAACACTCTCTGGACACAATTTTGCCAAAAGAGATAAATATTCAATAAAATTACTTTAAGTCTTTCCTAAGACTCTAGGAGAGTCAGGAATGCCACATAGATTCTCCAGTATTGGTTGGTAAAGTGTGACCTTGGAGCTTGGGTGGACAAAAGGAGCTGAATGTGCCAATGAAGGCACTGTTCAGTGTCACAGGCACATAATCATTTTTAAGATTTTAGAACTAAAAGCAACAAGGACCACATCCAGTGCAACCTTGACTATGTAAAATGCAGATTAGGAGAGGCAGAAGTGCTAGGATGTCAGAGCAGACTTTGAATAAAAATTGGCCTGCATTCAGGCCTGGCAAGGTCGCTCATGCCTGTAATCCAGCACTTTAGGAGGCTGAGGCAGGCGGATCACTTGAAGTGAGGTATTTGAGACCAGCCTGGGCAACATGGTGAAACCCCCTTTCTCTAGTAAAAATACAAAAATTAGCCGGGCATGGCGGTGGGCACCTGCAATCACAGGGACTTGGGAGACTGAGGGACAAGAAAAGCTCGAACCCAGGAGGCAGAGGTTGCAGTGAGCCGAGATTGTACCACTGCACTCCAGTCTGGGCAACAAGAGCCAAACGCCGTTTCAAAAAAAAAAAAAAACAAATCCCCTGATCCCTTACTAGCCGTGTGTGTGTGTGTGTGTGTGTGTGTGTGTGTGTGTGTGTGTGTTTTGAAACGAAGACTCACTGTCGTCAGGATGGAATGCAGTGGCGCCAACACAGCTCATTGCAACCTCCACCTCCCAAGTTCAAGCAATTCTCCTGCCTCAACCTCCCGAGCAATTGGGACTAAGGCACACGCCACCACGCCCAGCTAATTTTTGTATTTAGTAGAGATGGGGTTTCACCATGTTGGCCAGAACAGTCTCTTCTCTTGACCTCATGATCCGCCTGCCTTGGCCTCCCAAAGGGCTGGGATTACATGTGTGAGCCACTGTGCCCCGCCACTAGCTTTCATTTTTTGTCAGTTAACTCTAAATCCTCAAGATGCTGATCTGTATAATGTGGTTAACAGTAGTTACACCTCATAAATTGATTAAAAAATAACAAACCACGAAATACAGGCTGGGTGAGTCCTTCACGCCCGTAATCCTAACACTTTGATCCGCTGAGACAGGCAGATAACCTGAGCTCAGGAGTTCGAAACCAGCCTGGGCAACATGGTGAAACTTCCTATTTTATTAATCGAAAAAAATAAGAAGGAAAGAAAAAAAGTTAAATACACATCATGACACTCAACCCATAGCCAACTGCTGAAAAACCACAATAGCACGGTTACCAAATAAGCGAGGCATCGCATTCCCCGGCTAGGTGTAAAAATCAGGTGTAAAAATGCCCAGTTTCGGTTTTGAGGCAAATGACAAGGTATTAGGGATGAGCTGTCAGAATCGACTCTTCAGCCATCAAAGCCTCGCGGTGCTTCCTGCCTGCCCCTCCTCAGATGCCCTTCCTGCCACCAATACGCCCACCCCAGGTAGGCTGGACGCCCTACGAACATTCCCTGTGCTCCCCGGGAACCAACGATGCTAGGAGAGCGCCGCGGCTTCTAACCACAGCAACCACAGTTCCGAAAGTTGCTGGGCTTTTTCCGGCCAGACGGCTGACGCCGTTTGCCAAATCACAAACACTCCTTCGAGCCGGGTTAGGAATCCGGAGTCTCCAAATCCCTGGCATCTTCAGCATCTCGCCCGGCCTCCCTCGTTAAAAGAGGGAAGTGAAATCAGAGCCCCACTCTGGCTGTTTCAGAAGTTTTCCCAAATCCCCGATCCCTTTACAAAGCCCGGGCCGTGGCCTCGCGGACGGCGAGCTGTTCCGCCAGAAACCCCTCCACGACCTCCGGCGGCACCCGCGACCCTGCCGGCGGCGAGCTACTGCCCGGGGAAGGGGCAGGCGGGAAGGGCGGACGGCGACCCCCGCGCGGCCCCGGGGCCGCTTCCCCTCACGGTGCCGCCCCGGGCGGGAGGCGGACAGGGCTCATTCGGACCCCCCGAGACCGGTTCAGGCGGGCCGGGACCCGTGCTCAGCTGCTGGGTTTCTAAACAAAATACTGGAATAAAAATAAAGGAAGTGACGACGGCGCGAAGGACGGCCCCGGCCTGCGAGAGGCGGCCTCATCCTCCACCCGTGAGGGGGCGCCGTGAGGGGTCTGCGCGGACGCGGGGGGAGGGGAGGCCGGGGGGAGGGGTGAGCAGGGGAGGCGGGGGCCCCAGGCACCGAAGGCGGCCGCGCGCGCGGGGCACTCACCGGGGGTCCTCGAAGCGCACGAAGGCGAAGGGCACGAGGCCGTGCCGGTTCTTGAGCTCGATCTCGCGGATGCGGCCGTACTTGTAGAACAGGTCCTCCAGGTCCTTCTCGCGCACGTCGGTCGGAAGGTTCCCCACGTAGATGCGCCCGTCGCCCTCGCCGCCGCGCTCGTCCGCCCAGCCCGACATCCGCACCGCCCGACGCCGCGGGCCCGCCGCAGCCCACGTCGCCGCCGCCGCCGCCGCCGCCTCAGCACGGGTCCCCCGGCAGCGTCCCCGCGGGCTCCGAGGCGCTCAGCCGCACTGCATTGTGGGAACGCGGAACGGAAGCAAAGGGGTCGGAGGAGGCAAAAGGAATACTCTTAAAGGGGAGGCGGGTGCGACCATTGCGCGTGCGCGCAGGCCAGCGCCCCCTGGAGGTGCGAAGAGCCTTCAGGCGCTGACAGAGCGTGGAGCCGGGCCATGTGGATGCCAGCCCTGAGCGCGTTTCACGCTCGGCTGAGAAGCTGGACAGGTGCCTTGGGTTCCCGCGCCTCAGTTTCTCTGTGGCGCCGCCTACCTCACAGACTTGTGAGCACTCACTGAGGTGACGCGGGTAGCGCCCAAGGCGTGCGGGGCGCTGGAGAGCTGGAGTCTGGCAGAGACCGCAGGCTGATCCCGCAGGGCCCCTGGAACCCCCAGCGGCTGGATTGTCGCGGCCCCCAACCTCAGGTCAGTAGCCCCCTGGGCCACCATGTCTCCATTTTACAGTTGCTCAGAACCGACGGTGTCAGCATGAGATGGACTTCATAGCTTGGCCTTGAGTTTTTCCGAATCGGGGGGAGTAAGACTCATAATGACTATCACAGCGATCACTATGGAGTGCATCCAACTTCGCTTTTCATCCCCTGCCGGGAGGAGACTGAGGTCACAGAGAGGTCAGGACGGGAACCCCAGAGCCATGCTCTTACCTAAGTACCTGGTCCTTAGGAGCTCAGGTAGACACCCCGCTTGGCACTTACTTTTCCACATTCACATCCCAGAGCGCGGAGCATTGAACCCAGGGACCTTACAGTGAGGCTTTGCACCAGAAGACCTTTTTTCTTTTTCTTTTTGATACAGGGTCTTACTCTGTTGCTCAGGCTGGAGTGCAGTGGCGCAAACACGGCTCACTATAGCCTTGATCTCGCTGGACTCAGGTGATTCTCCCACCTCGGAGCACCGTGAGGGGTCTACACTGCGTTTTATTTCCTTTTTTTTTTTAAAGAGAGCCTGGTCTCGAACTCTTGGGCTCAAGTGATCCTCCAGCCTTGGCCTCCCAAAGTGTTGGATTACAGGTGAGCCCTGCACCCGTCTGGAAGACTCCTAAAGATTTTTCAGGCTGAGTGCGGTAGTTCGTGCCTGTAATCCCAGCATTTTGGGAAGCCAAGGCAGGCAGATCACTTGAGGTCAGGAGTTGAGACCAGCCTGACCAACATGGTAAAACCCCGTCTCTACTAAAAATACAAAAATTAGCCAGGCGTGGTGGTATGTTCCTATAAACCCAGCTGCGTGGGAGGCTGAAGCAGGAGAATTGCTTGAACCGGGGAGGCAGAGGTTTCAGTGAGCTGAAATCAGGCCACTGCACTTAGCCTGGGTGACAGAACGACAGGGCAAGATTGTCTCAAAAATAAATATTTTTCTTGTTAAAAATGAAACCTGGCCAGGTGTGGTGGCTCCAACCTGTAATCCCAGCACTTTGGGAGACTGAGGTGGGCGGATCACTTGAGGCCAGGAGTTTGAGACCAGTCTGGCCAACATGGTAAAACCCCCATCTCTATTAAAAATATATGTATATATATAAAAAAACTAGCCTCACATGGTGGCACACCTGTAGTCCCAGCTGCTTGGGAGGCTGAGGCATGAGAATCCCTTGAACCTGGGAGGAAGAAGTTGCAGTGAGCCACAACTGTAACACTGCACTCCAGCCTGGGCGACAGAGGGAGACTCTGTTTCCAAAACAAAACAAAACAAAACAAAAACAAACAAAAAGGGACTAAAACCAAACATTTAATCAAGGTAGCTGATTATCATTATACCATCTGAGAGTTTTAAAATCAAAACAAACCAAAAATTAGACACCCACATATACCACTGAATACATGTCCTTTTTGGAATTCAAATTGATAGTATACATCAGCCTTTCATAATACACCTATACCGTTTGATCCTGTAATTCTGCTTGTAGGATTTTTATCATACGGAAATAAGAGATTCTCACAAATTACATGTATATATTTGTCATTGCATTCTGTGCAATTAAAAAAATTAAACTTGATAAGGGAGTGGCTCAACACATTAACAACATTGAATGTTACACAATTATTAAGTCTTTTTTTTTTTTTTTTTTTTTTGAGATGGAGTTTCGCTCTTGTTACCCAGACTGGAGTGCGATGGCGCGATGGCGCAATCTCGGCTCACCGCAACCTCCACCTCCTGGGTTCAGGCAATTCTCCTGCCTCAGCCTCCTGAGTAGCTGGGATTACAGGCACGCACCACCATGCCCAGCTAATTTTTTGTATTTTTAGTAGAGACGGGGTTTCACTATGTTGACCGGGATGGTCTCGATCTCTTGACCTCGTGATCCACCCGCCTCGGCCTCCCAAAGTGCTGGGATTACAGGCTTGAGCCACCGCGCCTGGCAAAGTCTTTTTTTTTAATATGACATTCAGATGTTAAAGTCACACTAAAGTGAATTAAAAGTGGTGTTTAATGTATACATATATATAGTATACTTGCTGCTTTCAACAAAGAAAAAATAGAAGAGAAAAGCTTTCCAAATATTGTGGAGATATCTTGATGGCAGTGATTTCTATATTTTTACTTATGCTTTTCTGCATTTCTTAAATTGTAATTAGCATGTACTACTTTTATAACTGGAATAAAACACAATAAATGATTCCTAAAATAAAACAATTAGAACTGTCTGTTGTATTCTGGATTGTGTAAAGCTTCTAGCTGTTCTCTCCTGGGCTTCAGAAGCCAAGCAGGAAAGAGCCCTGGCCAAATATGTGATCTGGAATCTAAGTATGCAGCCTTCTAGGAGCTAACATATCCTAAAGGCATCCAAAAGTCCAGATGCCACCTCATTTTGGGTAGTATGCCTAGGTGTATTTATACCATTCTCTGAATCCTACCACTCCTATGTGATTGTTGCCTGGAAAGACAAAAAAGAAAAAAAAAAAAACAGTGCTGTTGGAGACAATTGGGCAGTCTCCTAGGGAGAGAGAAATAGTCAGCTAAGTGACTCAGGACTGTAGGTGGAGGACTGCTTGCAAATAATAGTAATTCTGCTTTAACTGTACAAAGTGCTGCAGCATGCAATCTCCAAAGGAGTTCAGTTACCCAATCTAGAAAATGTTGAGCCCAGATAAGGGTTATGGTACGTACAGGCTTCTTGGATTAGACAGAGCACAGCTAAATCATTAGGAGGCATTTATGATCATCCATGAAAACCCCTTTATTCCTGTACCGACTTTGCAGGTTAGAACACAAACGAGGCCACAATTATGACTTCCTGCTCAAAGAATTCATGGGTTGCATGCTCTGCTAAGCCCACTGATTCTAGGCAGGGACCCCTTTTCAATTTGCTGCTTATCTAGATATTCAACATCATTTGTGATTTAGGTCCTGTTTGAGGACCAGGACATGCAATAATGCAGCTCCATCCTCAAGCTGTATATATAAGTTGGTATTCGGTCATGTAGAGTACAGCTGTGATAAGGATAAGCTGCTTGACACTACATTGGAGGGCCACCTATCACAGTCTTAGAGGTTCTAAGGAAGGCTTCTGGGAGAGGTTTAGATAGTCTTGAAGAACCAGTAGGAGTTAACCAGGGTGAAGAGGGAAGGGCATTTCAGACAAAATGGAAGGCATGACTGCTAGGTGCAGCGGCAGTAATCCTAGCACTTTGGGAGGCTGAAACAGGAGGACGGCTTGAGTCCAGGAGTTGGAGACCAGTCTAGGCAACATAATGATACCTCTACCTCTACAACAAATTTAAAAATTACGAGGCGCAGTGCCTCACGCCTATAATCCCAGCACTTTGGGAAGCCAAAATGGGTGGATCACTTGAGGTCAGGACTTTGAGACCAGCCTGGTCAACATGGCAAAACCCATCTCTACTAAAAACACAAAAATTATCCAGGTGTGGTGGCACACACCTGTAATCCCAGCTACTCAGGAGACTGAGGCAGGAAGAACTGCTTGAATCCAGAATGGAAAAGTTGCAGTGAGCTGAGACTGAACCACTGAACTCCAGCCTAGACAACAGCGACACTCTGTCTCAAAAATAAATAAATAAATAAAAATAAAAAATTACCTAGGCATGGTAGAGTACCTGTAGTCTCAGCTACTTGATCTCGAACTCCTGAGCTCAAGTGATCCACCCATCTTGGCCTCCCAAAGTGCTGGGATTACAGGCATGAGCCACTGGATCCGATGGTCCCAGCTATTAAGAGGCTGAGGTGGGAGGATCGCTTGAGCCTGGGAGGTTGAAGCTGTAGTCAGCCATGATTGCACCACACTGCACTCCAGCCTGGGCAACAGAGCGAGACTGTCTCAAAACATAAAAAAGGCCACCATGGGCCAGGTGCGGTGGCTCATGCCTGTAATCCTAGCACTTTGGGAGGCTGAGGCAGGTAGATCACAAGGTCAGGAGATCAAGACCATCCTGGCCAACATGGTAAAACCCCATCTCAACTAAAAATACAAAAAAATTAGCTGGGCATGGGGGCGGGTGCACATCTGTAGTCCCAGCTACTCGGGAGGCTGAGGCAGGAGAATTGCTTGAACCCAGGAGGCAGAGATTGCAGTGAGCCGAGATGGCGCCACTGCACTACAGCCTGGGTGACAGTGTGAGACTTCATCTGGAAAAAAAAAAAAAAACCACCATGAGAGATCACCCAAATAGGAGGGAACGTGGCAGACCAGGGGAAGTCCCTACCAGTGTGACTGGGGCAGGGAGTTCACATAGGGAAGAAGGAAGGAGCTGAGGCTGGGGCGAGTAAGGCCTAGTGGAGCATTTTATGAAAATTTGGACTCTACTGAGGGTTTAGGCGTTATGATTGGATGATACCCTCTCAGTTGGAACTAGCAGCAGAAGAGATTGGAGAAATGGGGTAGGCGAGGAGAAAGCTAATTTGACTAGAGGGCGGCTGCAGGATAGGGGAACTGGAGTGAGGGAAAGATGTGGCAACAGATGCTATTATGGGATAATTTGGGGAAAGGGGAGCCTTAACTAAAGGGACAGTGTAAGAAGTATCTCTGTGTAACTGCAGTGTAGGTGTCCTGTGACTTCACAGATCCTTTTATTAAAAATTTACATTACCCATTAATGATTTTGGAGTTGAATTCTTA